CTTCATTTGCATAAAGTTGAAGGATTCTGAACTTTGTCGCGTCGCTGGACACGCCTCATCCGGTCGCCAACAGCTGTTGTCGCCCCTATCGCTGGAAATCGCCAGCTCTCCATTGAAATAAATGGGATTGTGTCGCTTTGCTGTTGCGTGTCGCTTGTAGTGCGAACGGGGCTACACGCTCGCGTCATGATACTGTCCTGAACGCGCGTCCACAAGTGACGCGGTAAAGACGAAAATGTGCAAAATAATTAAGTCATTATTTTAGTTTTCTTTGCGCAAAAAAGTATTCTTGTAGCTTCGTAACTTTACAGTTGAACCACTGATGTCACACGGACTACTTTGTCGATCATCTTGGTACTTTTCTGGACCTTGAACGTGGTAGTTGCCTTGCTGTCTATGGGAGGGTCAGAGAGCCCTCAGATTTCATCAAAAATATCTTAAATTGTGTTCCGAAGATGAACGAAGGTTCACAAAAACACGAGGGTGAGTAATTAATGAAAGAATTTTCATTTTTGGGTCAACTAACCCTTTAATAGCTCAAAGCCTAGTGCGACCGCTCCTTTACTCCCCTAGCCAACCAGAAAGACTGCCATCCTTATCCACCATGAAATTCACACATGGCATATGTGACCTTTTAACAGACTTGAACAGACATTTAATACAGAAGTAAAGTCAAAGGGCTCTGGTGTTAGATATGGGGTAAGTGTGTGTTTGGCTAAAGGGCATCAAGTCTGGCTGGCTCTTATGTAATGCCTCCGTGTGTCTGTATCAAGCGTGTGTTTGTTCTATCTTTGTTTTAAAAGCGCAGCAGGCCTCAGTTCCACCGTGCCTTTCACCTCGACCATAATCTCCTTTCACGCCTGCGTTATTCCAGATTATTCTTATCCCTTGCACAGCTCCTGCTGGGCAACAATAGCACTACCATACTATCTGCAAAGCAAACGGCCTGCCTGCCACCTCATACACACACGGCTTATCAGCAAACAGCCAAATCCTGCCCCGAGAGAGAAAGCAAGAGTGCAGAAGAAAGAAAGCGAGTCGGTTCGACGAGTTTAAAATGTTCCAGCTATGAGGGCAGGAGCACAACAGAGTTATAAAATCTGATTTAGGCCTAAAAACCTTAATCTCCTCGATCCATAATCTAACAGGTCTGGAATTCCCCCAGCTGTTAGGAAAGAGGGAGCGAGGGAGCAAAAGTCGTGCCACTGTTTCCAGCGAGTGGGCATCTCCAGTCATGATCTCATCCCGCAGCGCTGGCACTCTCAAGCAGAGAGCTGCCCTTTTACTCAAAAATGCCAAGCGCACCACATTCCTACACTCTGAAAAGTCCCTAATTGCTGAGATACACATTCAAACGGCCCCTTTGCCCTCTTATAGAGAACAACCAGACACGACTTAATTATATAATTATATGCCACCGGACCCCCGCACACAGACTGACATACTTCAGGACGTTTGTGACCATGCACAGGTTTATTTGAGGAGAGGAGAGTGCCACTCTCATCTGCATGTGGGTGAACAGAAATTATTTTTATCAGAAAACCCAATGGGATTTTGCATCGGCCTTTGGATAACTGCAGAAATTACGCTCTGTGACCAACAAAATGTTGTACATCATAACAAATCTCACAAATGAACACAGGTTTTATTAATTTTGAAGCCTAAATGCAGTCGCCAGAAGTAAAAAGTTACAGTTAGGCTTCAAATGAACTACACCACTCTCATGTGACTCCAGTAAGCTTTGACAACTCTTTTAATCTGTTTTTAAAATCGACAAGTTGAAAAGTTTGAGTTAGACTTGGTGTAATTGTGAGTATAAACATTGGGCTGTAAAATAGGACTAATGAGTAGCTGAGTTTTCTTGTTTGGTGTGGTGTTTAATGTCCCTGACAACCTCTGTAGTCCCATTTAGCAACTGTTTAGCAGCTGCCTTTCATAAGATGCATAAAGCCATGAGTTGTGTATTACTGATGTAGTTTATGTCATAGAATAAAATGCAAAAATGTATTGACCTAATTTCAGGCATTTAATTAAAAACCCATTAAAAAAACTAAAATTGACTTAGGACGATGTAACCGGAAGTGCAAACATGCTAACATTTTCAGGTTTTATTTCATTCCTAGAGCACATTATTCATTCTTCTCTGTCTTCACCTTCTCCATAAATTTTCTTTTTCTTCCCCCCCCCCCTTTCTCTAGGCCCCAAAGCTTGTGCCGTCTGGGCACTTGACCCACCTCCCAGTCCAACACAATACCTCTCCTCCCTGAGGACTTCAGTTGAGTTTCTCAGCTCAGCAGTTTTGAACTCCTGTTTAGTTGTGCACAACTCACCTCAACTGAGCATTGTACATCTCAACTCAAATTGAACTCTGCCCATCCCAAGTCAAGTCAACTAAACTCAAACAATCTCATCTGAAGTCATGTCATCTTGTCAACTCAAATGAAGTCTTCTCAAACACAGTCATTTCATCCCAAGTCCTCTCAACTTGTTCACCCAAAAATCAAAATTATGTGATCATTTACTCACCCTATTGTTGTTCCAAACCTACATGACTTTCTTCTACTGAACGCAAACGAAGATGTTTTGAAAAATGTCAGTATAGGGTCCAATGTTGTTTGGATTCCAACATTCTTTGAGTTTTCCAGAGTTTTCAAAAGAAACAACAGGGTCAGCAAACAAATTTTTATTTTTGGGTGAACTGTTAACCCTTTTCAAGTAATCTCAAGTCAACTCAACTCATCTCAAGCCTTCTAATGTTAACTCAAGCTCAACTCATCTATGCTCATTCCAACTCAAGTCAACATAGAGGAGCAGTATTGTGTTGGACTGGGAGGTGGGGATTTTTTGGGGTCAAATACCCAAACAGCCATGGGGGTGCAGAGAGAGAGAGAGAGAGAGGAAAAAAAATCAGTTGATTTGTGGAGTGGGTGAAAAGAGAGATAGGATGAAATGCACAGAATGACAACATAATTATGATCGTTGGCGTATGGGTAAAGATAATCACACATAGACATTTATGAACTTTGTCACTGATAAAGATCCTTTCTGTTCACCCACACGCAGATGAGACTGGCACATGCCGCTGTTGACTGCTGGCTTGTGTCAGATCTCCCAGTTTGAAGCTGGATGGATGTGCCTCTGTAGGGCCCTTAACAAGACACAACAAGCTTTTATCATCACTTTGGAAGTGAATGTGGAAAGAGTGGAAAGTGTTTAAGATTCAGTTCAAACTCAGCTCAAACAGAGTCTCTATCTTTCTCCTTTTTCTGGTGTTGATGGCGCAATAAACAATAATTATCCAGTTAGGACAGAATATGGGTGTATCTGAGTAAGATATTCCTTGTTAAACATCTAAAGCTCCAGGCTTCTCTGGCTTGGGTGAAGCAGTCATCTGGTTCATCAAAGTCCTCTGGGTAGATCGGGCTCTTGTTTAGTAGTAGACACAGGGTGCATGTGTGCTTTGAAACGTCTGTGCCTTAGGCTGTGTTTGATGTGTGGCATGGTGGTGGTTTCTGCAATAAACAATAATTATCCAGTTAGGACAGAATATGGGTGTATCTGAGTAAGATATTCCTTTTTAAACATCTAAAGCTCCAGGCTTCTCTGGCTTGGGTGAAGCAGTCATCTGGTTCATCAAAGTCCTCTGGGTAGATCGGGCTCTTGTTTAGTAGTAGACACAGGGTGCATGTGTGCTTTGAAATGTCTGTGCCTTAGGCTGTGTTTGATGTGTGGCATGGTGGTGGTTTCACATGGATCTTAGTGGCTTTGAGATAAGCACATTTCGCTCTCTGGGAAAATGGAGCAGTTCAAATAAGTTTTACATTTCGGGATGTTGTACTGTCCTGTTCCTGAGAATGTGGATGTGTTACTAGGTGTGCATGTAGACTGGTTTGAAGATGTTGCCGTTTGATGCCTTTTTTTAGACATGTAAAAATACTTTAAGCTCCACACATTGCACACAAGAGATGGCTGTGTTGTAAATGGCTTTGCTCTATAAAATAATACCCACATTGATTGAAAAGGTTGCTTAATATAAAATTTTTATTGGTTAAAATCCGAAAACTGTTAATTTCAGTAATTTGATAAACCTGTATCAGGTTACGAAACCCCAAGACAGTCCAAATGAATGTTCATCCGTTCTCTGATAACCTTTGCAAGATGCCACGCTGTGGTTGAGACCTTTTTCTTGAATACTGTGACCTTTTGCCCAGACCAGATGCCTTAAGAAACAGTTACTGGAAATCTAAAGCAAGGTGGATATTATAATGAAGAACTATTCCATTATGTAACCATGATGATATTTCAAAAACTGCTGATGGGACATCGGCTCCAAAATTAGACCTAGGTGTTCTGTCTACACAGTTGGTGTAATTAGGGTTAAGTCAGGTACACTTATTTTATTTTTATTTTTGAATTTAATTTTAGTTTACTTTTTTTTTTTGAAGTTTACTTATTTAAAAAAAAATATATATATATTTTGATGGTTGCTCGTCAGACTAAAATCTTAAAAGCCAAGGCAGACTGTACATCATACCACTTATTTTATTTTTATTTTTGAATTTTATTTTATTTGATTTTAAGTTTACTTATTTAAAAAAAAAAATATATATTTTGATGGTTGCTCTTCAGACTAAAATCTTAAAAGCCAAGGCAGACTGTACATCATACAATCAGATTTACAATATACATCTTGATACTGTTGATGGGCGCTTAATCATATATTCTGACACAGCTATTAATACAAGAAATGGAAATGGTGCTGCACAAACTGAAGTAAGTTCTGTTATAGCAATATTTCATTGTGGAAAACAACAGGACATTTTCAGTATGCTGTGCGAGAGTGAATTTGCGGACTATACTCAAAGCAAGTTACTGCTCTTAGTACTATCATAACATTAAGAAAATATGCTACAATATTTGCATATCATATAAACACGATGTTGAGTACAAGTTTGTAACTAAACATCTCTCAATTGCTCTGCTTATCGGCTCTTATTTAGATGGCTGTCATGGGATTCACAGTGCAGGACCGCAGAACTTTATCAGAGATAAAGGCAATTAATCAGCTGTTGGTGAGTATTTATTTATTTTATTTATTTAGTCATTTAGCAGACGCTTTTATCCAAAGCGACTTACAAATGAGGACAACAGAAGCAATCAATTGTAGTATAAAACAACTAAAAACACATCCAAAACTAAAACACCAAACACCAAAAAACAACCACATGTACAACCACACACACATACATACATACATATATATATATATATATATATATATA